GACTGGTTTGAGCAAACAGTTCCAGCCAGGTGAGCCCCATCGCCTGTTGGAATGGGGGTCTTCACAGGTGAACTGGAGGCTCTAGAAAAAGCTGGGAGTAGCTGCCAATGTCTAGAGGCCTGCTTGGAGCACCTGCAGCGGCTCTGGGGCAGGCAGACCGTGTCCCAGGGGTGTGCAGGCCCTGGAGGCAGAGAGCTCCCTGCTGCTGCGGCATTGTGGGTGGCCCCAGGCCAGGTTGCCCAGCTCACCCCTTGGGAGTGTTTGAACCCAGTCTCACCTGGGGTGAACTGGCCCTGGGGGCAGGAGTTGGGCCACCTGGCGAGGAGGAACAGCCCAGCTCCCCAAACCCTAAATCATATACCAAAGCCAGATCCCCTTCTCTGGGATGGGATTGGGGGGGGGGGGGATGAACTCCCGATCATGCTCTTTTAAAGCAGTAAACTTTTTGCTTCTAGAATCCTTGTCTTATCTACACCTGACTGAGCCCTTTCAGTTGGCCCAGGATCAGGCTGGTGGGAAGTGACATGACCTCTGCCACGGGGTTCAAGTTAGGGAGCTCGTAAGAGAAACGCACAGGAGTGTCTGTGGTGAGCCAGGGAGTCTTTGCTGCAGTACCCACTTCTGCAAATTAGACATAATGAAGACATTCATGCAACTTGGAAAGAAATCATTGAAGACGGGTAAAAATGGGGTGGGTGTGATCTGGGGTCCATGCTGCATGCACCCAGAATGCCCCATTTCTTCTAGCCCTCTCCACATTTAGTGGCCTGCCGGGAAGAGCTGGAAGGGAGAGCACATCCCTGCTTTAGGTGGTGGCTGTGGACTGGCTGGCACCAGGGGGACAGCTGCCCTGAAATCAAAGAGGAAGAACTGCAGACTCCAAGAGCTGAATGAGGCTGGCCGCCTCCTGCTCCGACAGAAGGGTGCTCTCTGTCCTTTTCCTCCACACAACACACCCACTCTGCCACCCACCCCATTCTCATCTTCATTGTCCATAAACCAATTAGACTCTTCCTCCTTCTTAGGAGGAAGCTTTGCCCCTAGCTTTGCCCTATGCTTCCTTCTCTTCTGCCTCTTCCTCATTTTGCCCCAGATCATTCGTTTGCTTATTGATTCACTCTTTGAGCATTTATTGACATCTACTGCATGTCTGGCTCGCTTCTGTACACAGGAGAACCATGGGTGAATCACACAGCTCCTTGCCCCCAAAGCTTATGCCTTGGGGAACACAACCATTGAGGGGACAGTTATAATGTGCTGTTGAGAGGAGAGGCACTGTGGGAAGTGTGGGGAGACAGCAGATAGGGAAGTACCCCAAGAGAGGGTACTTCTGAACCTCTGAACCCTTGAAGAAGGACGCATAGGCACTTGCCAGGAATGAAGGACATTTTAGGGCAAGACCCAGAGGGCAGATGGAGGTGAGGGTGTGTAAATGGCCCCTGACCTACACAAATGCACTGGGAGAGGGGGTTATAGTGAAACATGCGACAGCAGCTAGAGCAGGGGCTTGGCATTCAGGCCCGGTCCATCCAATTTCAGTGCCAGTTTGGCGACTACCTCTCTTCCCACCTAGCTTCCTCCCTCAGCCTCTGGGGCAAGTGTGTATGTGCAGAGGTACTCAGATGGACACACACAAATGCGTGCACAAAATCACAAGGTACACATTAGATACTCACTCAGAAACAAAGAGACATATCCCAGCTGTGTGCATACAGAACCACAGGGCTGGGGCCCTCCCTGGTGGCTCAGTGGGTTAAAGTGCAGCACTATGAAGCTATCCGCAGCCACTGCAGCACGAGTTTGATTTCCCATCAGGGAGGTGACCCACATGGCACAACACACCTCTCCTGTCTCGACCGCTGCTCTCCTCAGCAGTGTACTTTTGTCAATCTGCCTGTTCTGCTCCCCACTGTCTCTGGTGAATCCTATCACTACCCCTAAACCTCTGGCCTGTACCCCAGTTATTTATGTATGCATAAATAAATCTTTTTTTTTTTTAAGATTTATTTATTTGTTCAGAGCAGAACAGGCAGATCGACGAAGTACACTGCTGAGGGGAGCAGTGGGCGGGTCAGGAGAGGTCTGCCGCGCCATGTGGATCTCCTCCGGGGCAGGCGGGGATCGAACTCATGCTGAAGTGGCTTTAGCTTCTCAGTGCTGTGCTTTAACCCGCTGCGCCACCAGGGAGGGCCAGCATAAATAAATCTTTAAAAAAAAAAAAAAATCCCAGGATTGACTAGACAACGAGGGTCAATGCTCTGCTTAGGGACCTGCTGGAGCTGTCACGCCACTGTGCTCACTCTTTCTGGCCAGACCAGCGGCTCACCTCCACTTGGGACCTGTGTGTGGGCCTCATGACAGGTGGGATTGGCCAAATTAGAGCATCTCAAACCAGAGCCCAGTCCAGAGTTGTGCTGAGAGAGTGCTGTTAGGTTCTGCAAGTGAGCACTCGTGTAAGATAGTCTGGAGTGGCATTTAAATAAAAACACTCTATTAGGGGGCTCCCTGGTGGTGCAGGATATAAAGTCTCAGTGCTCTCAAGCTATCGCCAGCTACTGCGTCATGAGTTCAACCCCTGGCCAGGGAGCTAACCCACATGGATGAGCAGAGACCAGTTAAGGACCAACACCCTGGCAATCCCCTCACAAAAGCGAGGCACCTGCAGAACCAGGGCCACCTTAGAGAGTCCATTCCATGCCTCCCACTGGCTGTGGCTCTTGGCACATTCCCGCTCTTCAGCTTCATCTGTGAAACGGAGAAAATAATGGCCCCACCTCCCTGGTGGTGCAAAGGGTGAAAAGCACAGCACTGTGACACTATCCACAGCCACTGCACTGCGAGTTCCATCCCCGGCCAGGGAGGTGACCCACATGGCACAGCAGACCTCTCCTGACCAGCCCGCTGCTCCCCTCAGCAGTGTATTACAATCAATCTGACTTTTCTGTTCCCCACTCTGTCTCTAGTGAATCCTCTCACCACCACTCCCACCCTCCTCTAGCTTGTACCCCATTTCTTGTGTGCATATAAATAAATCTTTAAAACAAGAAAAGAATGGCCCCAGGGCACCGAGAGTGCAGTGTGAAATGTGAGAATATAGAGTGCTTAGCACTTGGCATTTGGTGGTTAGCTTAGACTCTGGGCTCCCCAGCAGTGACTGAGAAGCCACCTCTGCATCTCACTAGCCATGGGACCGCAACCTCTCTGTAAAATGGGGATGAAAGTCCTAATTCATAATGTGGCAGGTTAAGTTAATTCATGCAAAGAACTTCAACAGTGTTTGGCCATACAGTGCTCCATAATGGTAATCTCATTATCACCTTGCTCCTAGCGCTGTCCCGGCTCCTGGGGCGCACGTCCAGAGTGTAGCTGTCCAGAACTGCTGAGCTGCTTTTTCACATAATGCTGACATGCCCCAGAGTGTTGGAGCAGTTCCCAATGCTCTCCAATCTCTCCATGATGCTGGCGGTGGGATGGCTTCCGGTGCATTTTCCTGTCCCTAAGGATCACTTCCTCTTCTCAAACACCTGTTTTTGACTGCCCCCCTCTCCCTACTCCTTTCTGCTTTTGTCTTAACAATAACCATTAAAAGCACATCATAGGGCCTCCCTAGTGGCACAACAGGTTGAAGCACAGCTCTGTGAGGCTGATGAAGCTGCTGCAGCACAAGTTCAATCCCCAGCCAGGGAGGTGACCCCCATGGCATGGCAGACCTTTCCTGACCTGCCTGCTGCTCCCCTCAGCAGTGTGTTTCAATACTTCTGTATATTCTGCTCCCCACTCTGCCTCTTGTCCTCCACACTTCTGGCCTGTACCCCGGTTTTGTATGCATAAATATATCTTAAAAAAAAAATAAATAAAAACCATAGCTACTATTTTGTTTGTCCTTTCCAGTATCCTCTCCCAGTCTGTGTTTCTACTTTGTGGGATCTTTTTGGTGAATTTCTTTTGGGGGGAAAGGAAACTCACACCTAGTCTTAGAACTTCTTCCTTTTTTCAAGGTCTGTGAGATATCTTTCTCAATTTTCTCCTGTTAGCTTGTAATGGGATAGAACTGCAGTGGCCTGGTGCCCTGCTCTCCCTACTGGAAGGCTCTTCCATCTGCCCCTTCACCTCAGCATGCCTGCCAGTCACTTGGTTTCATTTCCATCTCAAATGTCTCCTGAACTTGCCTTTACTCGATGATCTACTGAGGAGGAAGGTCATGGGAAGCTGTGAGGCAGGATACCAACACACAGTGACTAACATACTAAAGCCTTGGTTATTTCATTCCAAAGATTTTAAAAGATCAGGGCCCTCCCTGGTAGCTCAAGCACTACGGGTTGAGTCTCAGCACTATGAAGCGATCACCAGCCGCTACAGGACTTTGATCCCCAGGGAGGGAGCTGACCCACATGGCACATAGACCTCTCCTGTCTCACCCGCTGCTCCCCTCAGCAGTGTATTCCATCTGCCTGTTCTGCTCCCCACTCTGTCTCTGGGGCATCCTCTCATCCACCCTACACTTCAAACCCAGCTCTTATGTGCATAAATAAGTAACATAAGCCTTAAAAAAAAAACTTTAAAAGATCAATAATAGTCGCAAGACTGGCCTCATGTCATCTTCACTTTCAAAATCGCAAGGAGTCCCTGTTTGACTGCCTCACAAGGCTGAGTTCTCTGTTGTTATAGCTGGAGGCGAGCGTGCCAAGTGTGGGGACCATACTTATTCTTAGTTTTTGACACAGCAGAAGGCATCAGGCTCACTAAGCAGAGGCCATCCCCTGACCCCATCTGGATGCTGACGGAACCGCAGCGGACCCTGTAAGTCCAGAACACAGAATGGGCACTTGGGGGACGGGAGGCATGGGGTGGTCACAGGGAACAGACTCAGGAGAAACCAAGGTGTCAGAGGTACACTCTGCTCAGTTTCTTTCATTCTGTAGGCTTTTCCCTCTCCTGCTCTCCTGTTTATGTCCTACAGAAAAGGCAGTGAAAGCACTGAAAGATCCATTTGTGTGAAGAGGTAGAGGTTTATTGAAATATAAACATTCAAGAACATGTAAGATAGAAAATAACCACAACATATACAGACACTTGCTGCAAGAGGACGTCTGAGGTATTTATCACTGCCTAGGCTACCCATGTGCTATCACATCTTTCCTACATGTATTCTGGGGGCGGCATAGCTGCCCTGGCCAGCTGCTTGCCTCGTGGCTCCAGGACTACACCTTCCAGAAGTCTCTGCTTGGCAGAGCCCCGTTCCTGGGCACCTGCCCCCACTCCCAAATTTCCTAGTCAAGACCCTGCTGTTCCATGAGAGCAGCATGGATTCGCTTCGAGGGGCAGGTTGGCAAGCTACCTGAGGCCAGGAAAGGATCCAGTGACCAGTGTGGTGTCCCTGCATCCTCTGGGGGCCTATCCTTTTTGACCAAACCCCTGAGAAAGACACACTGGCGCCAGGTCTGTGACGCCTGCCAGGGCGCCAGCTCCCAGAAGAAGGTTGGCCCCACTGGGTGGGGCTGTTTGTGTGAGTGTGAGTGTGTGGTGGGTGGGGGGCACGGAGGGAGTGAAGATGCAGTCCAGTTGAGCTGCAGCTTACCAGGCTGAGGTATCTGTTTTGTGCTCAAGCTTTTGATTTCCCTTTCCTTTCACCGATGGGGCCCCAGGAGAACCCGGCACTGGCTTGTGCAGGCTTCACCCTGTGGCCTGAAGACACTGCCGAGGCTGCTGCTTCACCAAACATGGCAGGGCTGACTGGACTGAGGTGGGCCTCTCTGAGAACCAACTCTTGATGACACAGGAGCAGCTGGTTCCACCAGGGTCTAAGAGGCAGGGCAGAGCTTTCGGCATTCCCTTACCCCCTAAGCCAGCACAGCCTGGGTGAGGCCCACAGCCTGCCTGTACAGCCCACCCCTGACCTGAGTTGGGGATGCTGAGTAAGGGGAGACGTCCTGCTCCCCCCGGTGAGCTGGAGTAGGGTGTGGGACCAGTCCCACTCTGGCAGGAAGTGGGTCAAGGACCATCTTTCGGAACTGGCATGTCCAACCAACGGGTGTCCCCATCCCGCCCCTCCCCTGCCACTGGGATCCCTGAGTCATCTCTCCTGCCTTCTTCCCTGCCTCCTCACTGGGGTCTCAGGGAAAGACTGGAGGGGCTGGGGTACCAAGTCATCTGCTTGGCTTTGGGGGTGATCTGCTCTCATTTCTTTGGTGCTACAACAATAAAAAATTTAAAATTAAAAAAAAAACCCAAAAGTCAGCAAAACATATATAAAAAAGATTTCAGAGATGCAAATACTTCCTGAAGAATTAAACATCAACAATTACAAATCTGAGGTATTTCAATGAACCTGACATTGGCAGGTTGGGGATGTTGGGGTTGAGATGGCCCCACGAGAAGGGGAAAGCCAAGGGACAAGTGGGCAATTCTTGGGAGAGCTGGCCATAGGGGTGAGTGGGGAGCATAAGGTTTGGGCGGATCAGAAAAGAGTCAATGTTAATGTCAATGTGAGCTTGCCTGGGCAGCCCTGAGGCTCTGTTCGCTCCTCAGCAGATGCCCAGTAGGCCCTCGGATTTGAAGACTGCCCTCAGGTGCCCATTTTGGAGACCCTCAGGTATCCATTTTGGAGACCACTAAAAAGGGGACATGGACCCCTGAGGACTGCTTCAAGAGTTGAACTTGAGGGACCCATAATCCAGGACCCAAACATTATAGTCAAGGTGGGATGAAGGCCCCACCCTATGTCCACCATGAAAGGGCCATCAAGGCATGTGCTTGGCTTCAGCAGCCCCACACGGGAATTAAAGATTGGGGGAGTGAGCAGGGGAAGAGGCCAGTGACCCTGGGGTCATGGCACAAGGCAGGGGAAGGGAAATAAATTAAAGGGGAGGGACCTGGAGGGCCTCCAGCCCTGTGTTGCTTACAGATTGTCGATACACTGTGTCCAGGGGTGGCCCTGGAAACGCAGGAAGCTGGATGCCCACTGACCCCGGCCAGTTCCCCAGGACAATCCCTGATTGGACAACGCTCTGCCCTGTCCTGCCCCTACAGCTTCTCCCTGCCCCAGAGTACAGCAGGACCTGAATGGAGCCTGGAGGACAGACGGACACGTCCAAATTCTCAACATCTGGCCAAACGGTGTTTGACGTGGGCTCCGTGAGATGAGGTAAATTCTGTGCATCAACTTCCTCCACTCTTGACAGCAGAGCGGGGAGCAGGAAGCTGGGTCCTGCCCGTCAGAGGGACCAGCTGGTGGAGGGCTCTGCACTGGGGGTGCCCCGGGATGAGGTAGGACTTGGTGAGCAGTGGGAGCTGCTGCTGCTGCTGGCGCTGCTACCAACACTCTGGGGAGCAGATCCTGCGATGAGGTGGACCACAGGCTTCTGGGCAAACAGCACGCCTGGGGGAGAGGGGACGCCCGTGTGAGCAGATGAGAAGACAAGGGTCAGTTCATCTCCACTGTCTCTACTGCTGCCGAGCTGTGCATGAGGCTCCACTCGACACTGTGTTCATGCTGACAGGAGAAAGTCCTGCCTTTGGGGGTACAAGAGCTGGTGAGGGGGACAGATAGGAAATAGAATCATTGCTGAAATGTTGTTAGTGCTCTGAAGGAAGTGCACCTGGAGGGGGTGCCGTGGAAACATAAAGATTTTGGGAGGCAGGTAAGGTTGGTCAGGAGCGTGTCCAGGCTCCAGGAGCGGAGCATGTCTGGCTGTTGGGGAAAGTGGCCAAATGAAGGGAGAGGGAGAAGAGGGGAATAAACGAAGAAAGCCGAGAGGTGGCACACACGTCGAGGCCGACACGGGGCTGTGGTGTGACTGAGGGGACACTGAAGGATGCTCCAGGGTCTGGGAGGAGTATGAGCAGGAGGCCTGCAAGGACACACTGCATGGTGGGGACAGGCCTGGTGCAGGCGCCGCAGCAACGTAGCCGGCAGGATCGGTGCAGAGAAACATGCAGGAGAGAGCACCAGCGCTGGCTCAGCTCTAGGGATGAGGGGCCCTCCAGAATGAGGCCAGGGGATGGCACACAGAGTGAGAAAGGGCACAGGAGGAGCAGGGGTGGGGCCAGGAGAGGTATGAGGCTTCATTCAGTTCTGTCTGATGGCTTGCCATCCTGTGGGAAGGCATTATCTCCTATCTCCCGGCCAAAGAGGAAAGGAGGTGGCAATCCACACACAGACCTCCTTCCCTGCTTTTGCCCAAGAACCCAATCCCAGGCTACTGTGGCACCATGAGAAGGCCAGGCCACCTCGGTGCTACCTGCTGGCTTGCCTGGCCTCCTTGGAGGGCCTCGTGTGTCAGGCGGAGACCTCTGGATGTGGTCTCTGAAGACTTCCTGGTGGGGGCAGGGCAACCAGGCCCTGCAGGCTGTTTTCAGGAACACGACCCCTCCTCAGCTCCCAACCCTCCCTAGGGGCCCAGCAGGGTGGTGCCCCAAGGGGCCTAACACCTACCCTCCAGAGTAAGGGACAGAGAAGCCCCGAGAGGTGTCCCCAGCTGTAACAGAAGGGCGACTTTAAGCCTGTCCCACTAGGCACAGCCCGTGCCCGATGCCCGCCCTCTGTGCCCGGGCTCTCTGGCCTCCACCTGCCACGCTGTGTCTAACCAACCAAGTGGGTTTGTTTTCAAATTCATCCCTGAGCGGATGAAGTGGGAGTGGGAACAGGAACACAGCTTCAATGAAAACTAAGTTGAATGCCCTGGAAAGCCTTGGGACAGGTGCTTAACCAACCAAGGAATAACACTGCCCAATTACATGCAGGAGAGAGAAGCACAGACGACTGGGGAGTGGTTGTAAATAGAGGCGGTCACTCCTCTACTCGGCCCCCTTTGTCTGCATCTAGCTCCTCCGTGAGTTTTAAAAGAAAAGGAATGACAGATGTTTGCAAAAGGGACGAGGTGAACCACAGTCAAAGAAAGGTGACCCGGGCATCAGAAGACTGGAAACAGACAGCAGTGCTCTAGCTTATAAGACAATTTTTAAAAGGCAAAGATGTAGTGTTAATGATGATTTCTCAGGTTAGAAGACTCAATTAATGAGCCAAACAGGAGTCCAAAGGGCAAGAGAAAAGGTCTCAGTGCCTGCCAAAGGTGGAGGGGCCTGCCATCCCGTGAGCACCCTCAGCCCGTGCTGAAGAGCCACTTCACTGTGGGGACCCGGAGACCGCATAAAAGGAAGCCCCCTCTGGAAGGTGTTCAGAGACAGGGCGACAGTGACGCCCCAGGAGCTGCGCTCGGCGTGTGCAGTGGCCCCTCAGACTGGCGCCTCACCTGTGTAGGTGGTGCCGTCAATGTCCACGGACATGTTGATGCTCCCAATGCTGCTCGTGGTCAAGTTCAGGGCTGCAGCCGAAGCCTCTGTTCTGTCTTCTGCTGGGGATCAGGAGACGCGCTCAGTCAAGCCTTCGGGCACCTCTGCCTCCCACCCTCCTGGCCTGGCCACACCAGACAAGGCTTTGCACTGTTGGAAAGCATCTAGAACCTTGCTCAGGACAGCAGACTGTCCTGAGGTTTGCTTTCCCCAGTCACTTCCCTTCCCCAGGTCCCCTCAGAATCTGCCCTCTCACCACGCAGACAGCCAGGCACGCATGCGGGCGGTTGGTCTGCCTGTTAGCTCTTTGCAGGACCCGAGTCACTGCCTTTGGACCGGGCTGTTACCTCCCAGGCCCCCTCCACAGCAACGCGCATTTATTTGTGTTTGTTGTGAGATGGAGTCAAGGACAAGGATGGCAAAGAAAATGGGGTGGGAAGAAGGGGAGGAGGGGGAACAGGGACGCAGATGCGGAGCTCAGGGTGAGGCGGTGGGACACCTGGAACACGCAGGAGGCGGGAGAGGCGGTCAGCTGTTTGTTCCGGCGTTCCAAGGGGTCACTGGCTTCCTGGCCAGTGGCAACTCTGACCCCTCACCAGTGCAGAATGGAGGTGTCTCCTTCCTCCTAGACTGACCACTGCCCTGCGCTTGCCTGTGTTCTAAGAGGTACTGGGGTGTAGGCTGAGCCCTTTAATTTAGGCAGATCAAACCTGGAGGGGGAGAGAGACCGGGCAGCTGTCCCTGAAGGGCTTGGCTCCTGCTCCGAGAACTACTGGACTTCCTTTTTCCTAGAGAACAAGGCAATGCCTCCGGCAATTTCTGGTCCCCTAAAAAGGGCTCAGACTTATCGGAGTTCTCAGTGGCCAGAAAAGACCCATGTGGCTTTCTGGCTTCTACACACTTTTGAGAGGCTAGGGACCAGTACCTGGAAGGCCTCCACCCCAGTCACAGCCCCCGGCCAGTGCTCACCCCTGCCGTTGATCCTGATCTTCATGGGCAGCTGCCGCGCCATGCTGAGGAAGTTGCGCTGGAAGGCCTGCTGCACCAGGCGCTGTTCCTCCTCTGACAGCCGAGAGGCCTTCTTCTCAGGGGGCTCCCCTGATTCCAGTCGCTCCCGCAGCTGCTCCAGCGTGGCCGTCCGAGTACCAGCCTGCTGGCCTGCCAAGGTCACAGGCACGGCCAGGCGATTTGGCACGGGCACGGTTGTCACTGGGACGCCCTCACCTGGCAATGACAGGGACACTGTACCAACCCACGCTCAACCCTCCCACCGCATCTGGGACATGGAGACCGCTCCCCCTCCTCCCCCAGGGTCCTGCAAACCTTTCCTGAGTGTGGTTGCTGTGGACATCCGCGGGCTGCTGGCATTGGGGCCACTGCTGGAGCCCATCCCGAGGACGGGGAAGCGAATCTTCGGTGGCGAGAGAAGGGCAGGGGCCCCAGTGGCAGAAGTGGCGACGGCAGGGGAGTAGCCAAAGAGGGATGAGCTGTAGCTGGGCCGGCGGCCCTCCCTCCGGTTGCCATCAATGGCAGCCTGGAGTTCAGCTGGGGAACTCAGGGCCTTCTTCTCACACTCGTAGGCATAGAGATACTTCATGTACCTGGAGGTAAGGAAGGAGGCAAGGTACATTCCAAACGCAGCCCTGAGAGCGCCCACTTGAAATGGACAAGCCTCTGAAACGGGCCAGCAACCTAGAGCTCCTGATGCAAGAGAAACATGGAACCACTGTGGAGGCGCCACCCAGACTTCAAACTGTTACTCAGTTCTGAGCCCGGACATGCTCTTCACCAAGGGAAGTAAGTGACACTCACTTTTGTTTAGTCCCTGGGAGGGCTTAGGCCCACATCATACGGTGTCTTTCTGGTTCCTTGATCTACTGATCTTCTGAGTCAGTCTGGTCAGAGAGGAGCAACACTCCCCATTAAATTCTGTCTGTCTCTGTGTCAGATGTCCTGGGGACAAGTCTCTACCCAAAGGCCTGGAGAGGCTGCCCCTTCTGTCCAAACAGTTCTGATAAACCCTCTACTGTCCATAAAGCCATCACATACTTCCTGAGAAGCCAGCTGCTTACTCTCCTGAGAGTTACTTCCAGAATATTCCAAAAGAATAGACCCTCCCCTCTGGCCTTCATTCACCAAAGCACCTGCTGTTTTCACTGCTTCCATGACCCTTGTAATAATCTCAGCTGGTTACAAAACAGGCCACCAGCCCCAGTGACCTGCCTGCCTGGCTTCCTCTGGGCCCTCTGCTGCAGGGCAAAGGGAAAGGGCCAGGATGAGAGTGAAGGTGCTATTTGGGAGATAATGTTCTAGAAGGAGTGTGGATTTCAAAGTCAGAGAAGCCCAGGTATGAAGCTCAGTTCTACCACTTAGATACCCAGGCTGGTATTGTCTTGACCTAACTCACCTTTTACATTTTATAATATGGGAAATGGGGTAACAACTACTTCACAGGACTGATTGTGAAGTTTAATGAAATATGTCATCACTGCACACAGGAGACACTCAAAAAATGTGGCTGTCATTTTTACTTAGGTCCAGTAAGAGGATCATCTAGAAAGCTCCTGGTGGTTTTGGGAATTCCATTCATTTTTGCTTACTGGACAATGGAATTTCCTTCCTTCCTTTCCTCTAGGTTAAAACATCCCTTCTCTCCAGCTTCGGCTTCCTTTCCCCAAGACTCGGGCCACTCACTGTGTCCTCAGTGTGAATGCGGCACTGGTGATGGATGTGGGCAAGTTTAGGCCTTTGGTGATCTCCCTCCAGATCTTCTTGTTGATGATTTCCACCAGGCCCCCCTTCTCTGTCACCAGCTTATACAGCATGTACAGGTCCAGGATCTGCTTGGCCATGATGGGGATTCGATTGATGGGGGTCCCTGTGATGGGCCAAAGAGAGAAACAGAATTATGTGATTATCCAATAAAGAAAGGAGATACCTTTGTATGCCTGTCTTCTGATGAGTTAAAAATACATTCAATGAAGCAGCAGTGTAATTTGAGTCAACTCCCAAAGCCTACAAGCAACCAGAATGGCCACCAGTTCTCCTTGGGATGGGCAGAAAACCAGGCCCAGTTCACAGGCTATATGGCCTCGGTTAACATGTAGTTACTTTGGGTCTGTTTGCCCAACTATAAATAAATGAGATGAGATGGGACCATTTCAAAATTTGTTCTTTTTTTCTTCTTTTTAAAAATTTTTTGTTCTGGTATGTTTGCACACATATTTTTTTCACTTTGCTTTTTAATTTCAGTTGGTTGGTTTTTTTTTTTTTTTTTTGGTTAACAATATGATTTTAGATTCTCCCCTAATGATTTGGCAACTCATGCTCCTCAGAACCATTCAGCTCCTCCTCAGGGAAGCCTCCCCTGACTGACAGTGGAGGTACTGCAGGCTCCTCCCCCCCCGGGTATCCCCCAAGCACCATCCGCTTGCTTTCAGTGGTCTGCAACAGTTCCTGTGGGCACTGGCTGCTTTCCCCTCTCCTGCCGCAGGATGGAGAAGTGGTGTTTCCTCCCTGGGTCCCCATCACGTCAAAGGAGCTGCTGGACACACAAGTCTCGGGGGGTTGAAAGGCCACTCAACAATTCTCTCCCCACTAATCACTCCACCCCCTCCTGGCCTCTAAAAGAGGGAGGGTCAGAGCAGCTTCCGCCCAGTGGCCCCAAAGGGAAGCGAGAGGAGCCAGGGACTTGATTAGGAAACCTGGCCCGGAGCAGGAAGGCCCACTAATGAGCACCAGGGGAGAAGGGAGGGCGGGCGGCCCTTTCACAGGCGGCTGGGATGCTCGTCAGGAGGCGTGATGGATGACTGTCATTTGGCAGCCTCGGGATTAATGACCTAGAGGTCAGAGGGGAGAATTCCACAGGGAAGGGTCACCGTCCAGGGCAGGGTATGAGACTTGTTGCCTTTTGATGGCAAACTCCTTCTACTGTACACAAGCTGCAGCTCCTCTGTCTCTCCCCCTTCCACTCGCCTAGTCTTGCCATGG